TATTCTAGACTACGTAGAAGAAAATACTACAGCTAGTACTTTGGATATGGCGAGGCACTTTTTAACTTCAAAAACAACTGTCTGGAGTGTTCTTCACGAGCAACAGCTTTATCCATTTCATTGTTACAAAGTTCAGGAAGTTCGACTGGCTGATTACCCACTGCGACTGCAATATTGCCAAATAATGCAGCACAAAATCCAAATTGATGATCAGTTTTAAGAAAAAGTGCTTTTTACAGATGAATCCACTTTTTCTAAAGATGGAATCATCAATTTGAGAAATTTACATAGTTGGGCGGACGAAAATCCAAGATTTAAGGAAACTTAGAAATCACAATGGAGATTTTCTCTTAACGTTTGGGCTGGCATTGTGGGCGATGTAATTATTGGACCCGTTTTCTTGCCATCAAGGCTGGATGGACATACATACAGGCGACATTTAGAGGAATTAGATGATTTTTTAGATAACGTTCCTCTAAACACAAGGCAAGCAATGTGGTATATGCATGATGGTGCCCCTGCGCATAGCACACAGGCCAAGAATTCTGAAGGAACGAAGGTGCACCGATAAGTTGGCCTCCCCGACCGCCGGATCTTACACCTGTAGATTTTTATTTATGGAGACGCGTTAAATCGCTAGTTTACTGCGTTGAAATAACTTCAGTTGATCAACTGAGGTTGCGAATTGTTGATTCATTTGATCAACTTCGAACTGAGATTAATGTTCTCCGCAGAGTGCGCTTTAATTTAAGACGGCGATATCAGGCTTTAGTATTTTTTTCTTCTTTTTTATTTATTACTATTTGTTTATAATTTTATTGTTCTCGTTAATATTTTTGTTAGAATTTTTGTTATGTTCTTGTTTGTTGAAATTACTTTCTTTTATTCAACTAAAATAAATTAACACTGGATTTAACTAAATCTGCACTTAGAAATTTATGCAAATAATGGTTATTAGCTCAGTTCGTTTTTCAATTGTCATCGCCAACTCAGATCTTGCGGAATATGTTTCTTTT